TTATGTTATTCAAGGACGTTGTCGTTCGAATTCCGCTTGTAATTCGGAATGGAATTACGAACCAATATCTTCTCATGGCTCCACGTCAAGCAATCGACTACGAGTCCTATACTTTGTAACGAGGACAAGAATATTTCAGGTTCTTGGATGGTTAGCTTGCTTACGAATATTCTAATCATCATTTATATTCATATTTAGAGATCAATCATGGCTGTTTTTGCGCTGTGGACGATATGGCTGGCTTTCGTTGTACATGAACATGGACATCTTCCTTTCAACGCTTCAAGTATTTGCTCCTTTCAGTGCTCATGGGACCATGCTATGTAATTAATTTTAGGTAGCCTTGAACTTGACGAAATCAGTTCCAGAGGGTCTGCACCACAACATTGGCAGACTTGGGCAGACCGTAGGCATAGATCGTGAGTATTATGAACTTGCTTGCTGAGTTTAATTCAGATGGCTTTTTTCAGATGGTTAACGCTTTTTGCAGAGTTCAGTTTGAGTCACTCTAGTGGATCTATCACATTTGTTCCGCCTATCATATTGAAAACAACGGTAAACATTGAGTTCAATCAAATTGCAAAACATTCTTAGCGTAGTTTTCTAGTTATAGCTGAGCCTAATGCAACTTGATTTCCATTTTCGATATGAATTAATGAACAACTGTTGGTGCTTGAGGTTGATCCATCTGATCCTGCTCTTTATCCCAGCATCTCTTCAGCCAAACTATCACCACCAAAAGCTTCATCTTCGCTGGAGAAAGATAATAATGCGCTCAAGTGAGTAGTTGTAATCAATGCACATGGTATTATATTAAATATACTGGGTCTCAAGTTAACTTTATGCGTCTATGCCATTTCGCTTCAAGAATTCTTTTTGAGAGAATAAGAACAAGTTTTTAGATCTCGCATTTCATGGTTGGAAAGACAACTTCATCTTTATCTGGCTATAATGTGGCTAGCCCTTCTATCATGCGTCATTGGATTTGTTCTTTATGCATGTTTCTGGGGAAAGTGGCGTACTGAACGCCTTCGAAAAAAGGTTTCTTATATCAGAGCCTCTCAGCTATTTTGTTGAACAGATTTCAATCCTCACTTTCTATCCAGAAAGCCGCCTTAATCTCTCCCAAATCTTCTTCGCCTCGTGGCAGTGTTTTGGAATCGACTATGGTTGAACGAAAATCTACAGTGGAGTCGGTTAGTATTCTTATAGAGGTTACTCACTTTTGGTCCGTACCCCGTAACTAATCTAGTCCGGACTGTAACAGTCGAAGTACCCAATTAATCAATCACATTCGTAGAGATTGACTTTGAAGCGATATCATAGTGTCTTTCATCACCTGTACTGTCTTTAATTCTATAAGGGATGCAGGAACGTTGTGAAGGATAAATATTAAATGTGTTTCCTGTGTTGTTTTAGGAGCCCATTGTATCTTTTGGACATCGTTTTCCTATCGAATGCATTGCTATATGCAGTCAATCTTGGCTTGTTTCTTGTTGTCAAGAGGGAAGAGTTTGCCTCTGGAATATTGAGACTGGTAAGCTCGTTCTAATTGTCTGGCATGAATTTTGGATGTTCGGGCATTACATTTCCGTTCGTCAAATAATCGAAAATGAAACTGATGTGAATTCCTCGCATTTTCCAACTTTAACTCCAAGACATACTTTTCATTGTCCATAATGCAACTATAAAATATTATTGCGAAAAGCTAGTAAATAGGAAGCTTTAGGAGAACGATTGTTGAAGCTGCGTCGAATTCGAGATGTGAGCAGTCCACAGAGCCAAATTACCATGACACTTCCGTTAATTTGGTGCATCGCAACCAAGTACGTATTATGCGACATTACCAGGAATTGTGAACCTATTAATGATGATAGTTCAATACTCAACTCAATTGCGTTAATAAGCTACCATAAGCGGATAAGTGAATTGTGGATTGAGAGATTGAGAGATTTTTTGGTATTTTGATATGTTATGTTATATTAGAGATGCTCTTATACATTTCACACATTTTCCTTTGGATCATCTTACGCAAACCGGCATTTTTCCCACTTGTTCGGATCATAATATAAATTCCCTCTTTTGCTTACCTCCCCAAATTTGTCACACATTATGTTAATCTACGTTTTCTCCAAGAATTTGGAAGAAGGAAAAGTTAGGCCTCTAGAAGCAGACTATCGTAACCTTTGAGATAAATAATTTCCACGCTGTTGTAGTAGCATTAATTTTCTTTTCTTTCTCGTTGATTTCTCTTTCCAAGGGAAAGCTTAGGAACTTCTCGTTCGATATGTAAGCTATCGTATGTTTCGAAGATGTTACTGTAGTGTTGTGCTAGTTGTTTTCTTAAATGCCTGACTGTTTTCTTGG